CCCAGGGAGGCAGCAGACTTCCCTGTGCAGTGGGTCTGCTCTTCATAGTGGGCCCTCCATACCCTTCAGAATTGAATCCCTACAACAACGGCTCATCTGTCCTTAACTGAAGAAGTTGTGATGCAAGGTGTGGTTCTTCTTGGCCTCAGTGCCACCTCCAAACTAGGCGATCCATCGTCATTGTAGTTATCTGGTTCCCCTTGCAGAGCATCATACCTGTTATGCAAGGGCAGTTGGGAAGGTGGGGTGGACATTGGACAGACATGCCTGCACTGCCTGTTGCGCTGGGCAGGAACTTCTTGCCATTGACCTCTGTCCACTATATCATCATGCTTGATCGGGCAGAGAAGAGAACAGGGGGTTCTCTGTAGCAGGGGCTCTGTCTACCTGCTGACTGTCATGGGAGTCAGGGTATGACCCCAAGCGTCTATCCCTCTGTCACATTCCTTGATGGCTCTCAACTTTCTTACCTCCTCCCCGAGGTCCATCACCAAGCACACGAGCTCCTCTACCTGAGCGTACCTCCCACAGGGGTGCTCAACTGCCATGCAGCAGTGGGTGAGCTGGGCATACCCTGCAGCCTGACTCATTCTATCTTCAAGTCATAACTTTGGCAAGGTTGCTTACCATAAATGTTGCTTGTACTTCTAAGTTAGTGCTTAGCGTTCTAGTTTCTTACCATTTGGTCTCAAGAGTACTTAAATCTCCCAAGTTATTCTTGCTTCTCTTTGTGGGAAACTAGTCGGTTCCAAATAGGAAAGGCACTTTTAAGACCAGGGGCTGCACAGACAATGCCTCTGTTGTTGATGGGGTTTTGAAAACTTTGTCATGGAGACTGCACAGCATCTGTGGGCAACCTGTTGCAGTGCTTGGGCACCTCCTCTGTGGAATTTTGCTTTTCTAATGCCATGTTGGACATGCCCTTACTGTCTGTTTTTTCTTGTTTTTCTCAGAGATGCTTTTGGTGGGCATCTCTGAGAAGAGTCTAGTTCTGTCTTCTCAGAAGATGTCAGAAGAAATTTGTTTGCATGCGTGTCTGTCTACCTACAGATAAACTGTTGTCCACTTCCTAACTGAACTGCCTTCAACTCAGTAGCACTGAATGGTAGCCGTAAGGGATTTTTTTTTTTTTTAATATGCAAGTCACTGTGTGTGTGTGAGCAGGGCTCCAAGCTTGTGTACCTGTAGAGCTCTTCATACAAATTTAACTTCTTTCTGTTAAATTCAGTAACTGACAACAAACACCTTTCAAACATTAATTAATCTCTAAAGTGAGCAAAGATTGGTGTATTTGCCTTGGAGCTTGTAAGCATGCAGGTTCTGAGCTTGAAAGTGGCATCTTACTCATGTGCACAGCCTGATGACTTTATCACTTTGGTACAGTTTGAGCTCCATTCAGTTTTTCTGGAAAGGAATTGAAGTTAATTGTTAGGCAGATCAGGTTTTGAACGTTTAGGCAGCAAACAGATGACTTGTGATATGAATTACCTGTGGAATGCTTAGGTGATGCAAAGAAACTTCACAGTTGGTGAGACAGGCTTAGTCAGATTTCATAGAAAGACCATTTTTAGCTTCTGTGGTGGTCAATGCAAATAAATTACAGGTCCTTACAGGCTTCAGACATTTCTTTGTTCAGTGTCAGTCAGGTTTCTATCCCCAGGCTGTTACCTGCTAGAAGAGCAACTTCATAAGCTTGTTTTGGGCTTTGTAGCCTTAGCCTGGGACTTGCCTAGAATAAGTTATAGCTTTGGTAATTTGAATGCAAGATTTTGTCAATTTTGGAAGATAGTTGAAAGTAGCATGAAAGTCCAGAAGCAGTGTAAAAGTTCTGCTAAAACATTCCTCATAGAGGAAGGCAGCTGTAAAACATTTGAGAAAAGTTCATAGAAAGGGAACTGGAACAATGCTTTGTCTATTTTCATTATAAAAATCTAACTTTAAAGAAGCTGCTGCTTGTTTTCAGACAACATTATTTTTATGCTCCACAATGGCTGCACCAAAGAACTGGAACTAGCCAAAATATGGTATTTTATTATCCCAAATAGCTGGAATGTAATAAAGTGTCTCCGAAAATGCTAAGCAGACTTAATAAGTCCTTTATCAGCAGTAGCCATGTATCTATCTTAGCACACTGGTGGTAATAGGACAATTCACAGTAGACATCTGTCCTTCCTGTTCTACGTGTTCTTAAATTGTAAAACTGATGTAATATTCAGAAACACAGTGTAAATAAACGGAGGCAATGAACAGAATTTACAAGGAGAAAGTAAAACCTGAGCAGATTGTAAGAACTAAACTGCGAGAAGTTGATGCAAGTGCAGTAAAGCAAAGGCATCAAAATAACGTTTTAAATCAGTTGGGAAGAAAAGTGATAGTTACTTGTACACAGATTCTGTCAATAAGAGGTCCTTGCTGGGAAGATTGATCAAGCCAGCCTTGCAGGGAAGAAAATTTTTATACTGCTTCTACAAAGATTATTGTATGCTTATTTATTATGTTGCTATAGCAAAGTTTTTTTTTTCTAAAATGTTTGTTGGTAAAATATTTACACCCTTAACTTCTCTTCCAGAAGTACAGTGTAGCATTGCTACAAACAAGTATTTACAATTCTAACTTTCTCTGTTGATCATAAAACTAACTTAAAACTGGGTGTAAGAGGGATAGCTTAATGTATATGTTGTTAGTTTTTTATTCATCCATGAATAAAATCCTGTGCTACTTTGTTTTCAGCTACAAATATGCTTCATGATATTCTGTCCTTTGTTCACTACACTACTATGACAGCTGCTTGACTCCCACCTTATGCAACTGCAATTATTTATTTTCTTTTTTTTGGCAAGGCATGCCTGGAACTGACCATTGAAACCTGATGTAGTGTAGAGACTCAGTTGACTGTTTGAGAGACCCAGCAGTCTTTGTCAGATGGATTTTATCATTAGTTTAGCCCTAGAAATCTGAATAAAACTTTATCTGTCATCCATGTATTGTTTCTGAGAGCATGTCCTGCCTAGTAAAATCTAGCCATAGAATCCTTTAGGTTGAAAAAGACCTTCAAGATCAGCAAGTCCAACCATCAAGCCAACACTGCCAAGTCCTCTGCCAAAACAGAATCAGAATCTGTTAGGGTTGGAAGGGACCACAAGGATCACCCAGTTCCAACCCCTCTGCCATGAGCAGGGACACCTCCCACTAGATCAGGCTGCCCAGAGCCTCATCCAGCCTGGCCTTAAAGACCTCCAGGGATGGGGCCTCAACCACCTCCCTGGGCCCATGAAAAGCAATCTTACAACTTGAGGTGACAGTAAGTTAAAGACTGGACACTTCTGCATGATCTTTCTCATGTCCCTTCAGTCCATTTCCTGATACTCTCCTGATACTCTCGGTGAGGTGGCCAGGATGAAGGAGGCAAGTAATGAGTGCAAATGATGCAGAACCTCGTTCTGACATGTGGTGCTTGAAAGACATGGTGCTGGGTTTGATCCACTGACTTAACACGTAATCTTTTTCCAGATAGTGTAACATTCGCTGTCCTCAAGCAGCTTAGGCTTTTGTTTCATATAGAGGAGTACTCTGTTAAACCATGACTTTTTTAAATAACTAGTTCTGTATCTGAGTTTACTTGACACATGTAAAGCTGGATGCAACTATGGTACAGAAGTAATCTGTAGAAGGGTAGAAGAGAGTCTTTAGGCTATATGGCAATTAGACAGCAACTGCTTTGATTGGTTTATAAAAATGTCTTATTGACATTGTTCTTTTGCACTTAGCTTACTGAACATGTATCGTTTTGTTAGTCTACTAAGAATTGCATATTTTATTTTACTCACTGGGGTTCGTTTATATCCCTCTGTTTGGCCCTGGTTCATTCATTGATATGAATGTGTGGTATTCAGACACCTTTTAAGTGGAGGGTACATAGTGTTTTATTTTTCTGTTTGTGTAGTTAATGTTGCCATCTTTCTGTATAGTATACTAACTTCGTATTCATTCTTTTCTGAAAAAATAATTATTTTTGTTTCAGGTGATGAGCATGGTGTCAGGATTTGCACCACTGATTTCTGCAGGTATTTTTTCAGCCACCCTCTCTTCTGCATTAGCATCTCTTGTGAGTGCACCTAAGATCTTCCAGGTAAGTATGGAAGCAAAACCATAAACTTTTAAAGAATAATTTCAATTAACTTTTAAATCAAAACTTTTAGAAGGGGACTCTGACATACTGCCATCATGATTCTTAGCAGTTGACCTCAGTAGATTTATCTAATGTTTACCTGTTGCCTAGAATGGGATAACAGTGTGTTACTGTTCCTAAACATAGCTAGACTATAGTTTATTCCAGATATCATGTGCTTCTGGTTAGTTTTGAGATCGGTTGTGATGCAGCTAACATTATAGGAACCTACAAACACTTTTAGATGTTTTCTGTTACAAGTAGCAGTGGAGCATGTACAGAGGGAACAGGATAGTCCATTACTTAGAGTAATCACAGGAGACAGCATGAAGTAGAACCTGTAGCTGTGAAATCTTAACCTTCAGAGAATACATTATCAAAATAATGGTGTACCAGTTCTTGTGTAAATAATTTACATTGATTTTGTTGGTATTCCTGTGTGTGTTTTGCTTTACCTTCTTTTTAACCATTTAATCTCATTCTTTGTCTTGCAAGTTCTCTTTACTTGGGTAAACTTTTAGATTCCTTTAGTGATCTTTCCCAAAAGTTCAGTAGAGAGTCAAACGTAGAAGAGATTTTGTTGTGGAGTAGCAGTGCAAATACTGATGCAGAGAACTAGTGTATACCTTGGGTAAACATTCCACTTTCTGAGAAATTATAATCTCTAAAGAAAGACTCTTTGATTTTAAGACATCAGTAAAGTAAAATAGTCACTGACAGAAGAGCAAAGCTTGTTCTTACAGATAGAAATTATGGAATGATGGAATATTAGAAATGCAAAATGTCAAGATGCAAATACAACTGAAAATGGAATTAGTATATAGTGGCTATAAACCTTTTTCTTTCAGGAAGATAATATGCAGTGGAAGACAGCATTGGTAAGCATTAGTAAGGATACATTTTGAACAAACTGTGTGCTGATTCTTTAATTTTGTTTTTTCTTAGGCTTTATGCAAGGACAACATTTATCCAGGATTTCAAATGTTTGCTAAAGGTTATGGGAAGAACAATGAACCACTGAGAGGATATCTTCTAACATTTTTAATTGCTCTTGGATTCATACTAATTGGTTAGTTTGAAATTGTAATAAATCTCAATGTCCTTTTGTCCTTGACAAAGCATTCTAGACCATATCATGACTTGATGATAGTGTCCTAGAGGTCTAAATCTGTTTGAGGGTTACTTGCTCCTATCTTCTAGATATAGCTCTGTCTAGAACTCCAATACATTTGAATTGAACTATAGCAATACTGCAGTTTCTTGATAACAGCAGGTATCTGTCTTTAGCTACTATTAATCAGTAAAAATACATCTTTTGCCTAAGGTAAAGAGATTTTATAGTTTATAAATATGAAAGTTTGTTTCAGATTTTTAGTAATTACAGACAACCTCAGTAAATGGCAAACTTGCATGAACAGTACTTTTTAAAGTGTGTTTTTTTCTGTTAAGTTACAAACAGTAGAGATGGGTGCTGATGGTGCTGTTGCTAAAGGTAAAGATGGTCTAGGTAGCAGTACATGGGTTCTGTGTAGAAGACAGACTAATTGTGCTGTGTCCATCCATGAGTCCTGTGACAGTGCTTTTAAACTTCTTTTCCTGGTTCACTCTTTCATCCTTCCCCCTAGTCTGCTTAAGGCATGGCTATATCCGTGATGTCCCTACTTGCAGCATGCTGACTGGAAGCTTGATTACAACTAGAACCTGGCAGACTAACTTGGCACATTCTGCATTTTGATCAGTTTTTTTTTGCTGCTGAGAGTACACATATTTTGTACCAGACTGCCTCAAGGAGAGCAGTGTATGAGGTTCTTCCATCTCCTTCACTAAAGAGGGTGTACCCATCACTGGTGTGGTGGTATTGATCTGTAATAATGCACTACAGTAGTACCATTGATGCAGCTTTTCACTTAAAATGCAGGCAGATGAACATGTTCGTCACACTGCTCACACTAACGTTGTCTGCTGCTGCCATTCACCATAGCCGTCTCTTAAACTTACTAGTAACTTGTTCTTTAGTGTTTGAGAACTGAGCTAGAGACTTGATGAGATGTATTAATGCTCTGTCCACTGTTTCTGACATTCTTCAGAACCTATTGTATTGGTGCTTTCTTTGATCAAGCTATGGAACACTTGGTAGTGTGGATAAATACTTTTGTTTTTAAAACTGAAAATTCCATTTCCTGACTACTAGAAGAAAACTGCTTCTCCTTAGAGTACACCAGAAATTGTTTGTTTGTAGCAGTTTTTTTACTGAGGGATGTACAAAGCCATGGAATTATGCCTTTCATAACACCCTGGTTTGTTTTTGGTTTTACAGCTGAACTGAACGTCATTGCTCCAATTATTTCTAACTTCTTCTTGGCCTCATATGCCTTGATTAACTTCTCTGTATTCCATGCTTCTCTTGCAAAATCTCCAGGTAGGAACTGCCATCATTTTGGGAGTGAGAGTTTAGCCTGACATTTCTTTATGCATAAATGCAATTTGAAAGGTATTAATATAAATGAATATTTAGTTTCATTTACCTACTAAATATCTGTCTGACTCTCATGGTCCATCTGAATTACAAGTGTCATATGGTTATGTACTTGGGTCTTCTGAAATTTTGTGAACTGAGTGAACAGTGGCACTTGGAAGCTACTAATATAATAGTCAGAAGATAATTCAGTATTTATTCAGAAACTGTTGAAGAAATCCTTCTTGCTAGTTCAGTATCTGGTGTTGAAGACCTTTTTGTCTTCGTTAGATTTCTCTGTTAATATGTTTGATCTTCCAGTCCAGAAGAAACTGGAATTGCAGGTGGTATTGCCACATTTTCATAGCCTTTGGCATGGGAGGTTAGTTAGATTATAGGAATTAGCCAAAACTCAGTACTTGTAGAACAGATGTGTATCCTTACCCAGTCCACTATACATTTGTACTGAAAAAAAACCCTTAAATGCTTCAGAAGTTGCTGAACTGGTGCATATCCTTATTTTGCCAGAGCATGTACATAACTCTGTTTACACAAGAGTTCTGTGTCTAATACAATTGTTAATCTTGGGTGTGTTAGTGGGTATATGTGTGTATATTTACCTGACTTTTATATCAGCTTGCGATGAATAAGGGTGTAAAACAGTGACAGTCCAGTACTTTTATATATTCAAGTTCTACTTAGACATGTCAGTGCTTTTCCTTTTTATGCAGTGAAAATTTCTGGCCATGTGAAAATAGTAAATATACACAACTAGGAGCACTGGTATGTGAGAGTGAGTCACAAGCTGGTGAATTATGTTACAGGACCTTTGAAAGCAAAACTCATTTGTTAGGCAAGCTTCCCAGAGGTTCCTGCAGCCTGAAACAATAGGCCTACTGGCACAAGCGTCTTTGCACTTCTCTCTTGAGATATACTTTTAGAGGACAAAATTTGGAACATGTGCAAATCTATGTAAGAAGGATGCAAATTAATTTGAAAGGTACTGGAAAATTGAAAGCATAAATGTGCCAAAATATTTATTTTGTACATTACTGAAACTGTCACACATTCACATAAAATGTGGTGCAGAACACTCTGGAAGGAAAAGAGGAATAGTATCTAGTTGTGATTAAATACATTTTCCCCCCTGTCTACTTTCTTGCTTCCAAATTACATTTTTACTAGGTTGGCGCCCTGCTTTCAAATACTACAATATGTGGATTTCTCTTGTTGGAGCTATTCTGTGCTGCATTGTGATGTTTGTCATTAACTGGTGGGCAGCACTTCTAACATATGTCATAGTCCTCGGACTCTACATTTATGTCACTTACAAAAAACCAGGTATGTGTGGGGCTTTCTTTTGGTTGCGATGGAGGGAAAAGGGATGTGGAAGAAAGGAACTGGGGGGGCGGGAGTGTGGGAAGATAACTTGTCTCTGTGTAGCCCACTAACTCAAACTCCTGTTTGAGGATTTTCAGTTGCAATGAAATATAATTATGTCTGTAGAGTTGCTGTTGTTCCCTCTCCTCCTAAATGGTAGACTTACACATAAAAACTTGAAGGAAAATTGGAGGAAGAGGTGCATATGGAAGAAGCTCGGCTTGCAGCCACAAACACACTAGGAAGACATGTTATGTTTTGATAGGAGGTGAAAGAGGATGCTCCCTTAACTTTTAAAATTGAGAAGGGATTTAAGTGTTGGTTGTTTCTTCAGTAAAACATTGCTACAGTTATGAAGAACAAATGATACTATTTATTCCATCTTCTAAGAGCACTGTATCATTCTGTAAGTGCAAGATGGAGCAGAACTGAACCTAAAGCATTCCTGAAGTTGAAAATAAGGAATAGTCTGCATATCCTGGTCTATAAAGATTATGAAGTACTTGGATGATCAGTTATTTGTAGCTATCAAAAGATGCACATGGGAACAAATAACAAGGATATTGGGATCTGATACTAGGATCTTTTGTTTCCTTATAAAAATAATAATCTAAAAGGAACTGCTTAGTCCAGCAGTTTTTTACTGAAGGGACTTGACTTTATTCAAGTAGTGTTGTAGGGCACCCTCAATAAGTTTACAGACAACTCCAAGTTAGGCAGGAGTTTTAATCTTCTTGAAGGTAGGGAAGCTGTACAGAGGGATCTGGACAGGCTGGATTGATGGGCCCAGGCCAACGGGATGAGGTTCAACAAGACCAAGTGCCACATTCTGCACTTGGGTCACAACAACCTCATGTAACGCTACAGGCATAGGGAGGAGTGGCTGGAAAGCTGCCTGGTGGAAAAGGACCCAGGGTTATTAGTTTACAGCCAGCTGAATATGAGCCAGCGGTGTGGCCAAGAATGCCAACAGCATACTGACTTGTATCAGAAATAGTGCAGCCAGCAGGACTAGGGCAGTGGTCGTCCCCCTGTACTTGGCACTGGTGATGTCACACCTCAAATACTGTGACACTTGTGGCCCCCTCACTACAAGAAGGACATTTTGGTGCTGGAGAATGTCCAAAGAAGGGCAGCGAAGCTGGTAAAGGGTCTAGAGAGAAAGTCTTTTAAGTAGCAGCTGAGGAGAGCTGGGGTTGTTTAGTATGCAGAAAAGGAGGCTTAGGGGAAACCGTACTGTGCTGTACAGCTACCTGAAAGGAGGTAGTGTCTTCTTCCAAGTAACAAGAGAAAATGGCCTCAAGTTGCACCAGGGAAGGTTTAGACTGAACATTAGGAAGAGTTTTTTTCACAGAAAGGGTTGTCAAACACTGGAATGGGCTACCCAAGGAGGTGGTGGAGTCACCATCCCTAGAGGTTTTTAAAAGCTGTGTAGATGTGGTACAGAGGGACATGGTTTAGTGGTGACCTGGCAGTGCCAGGTTAACAGTTGGACTTGATAACCATGAAGGTCTTTTCCAACCAAAGTGATGGTATGATTCTATGTTTTGAGACTTTTTTCCTTTGCTGAGATGCAAAATGACTAAGCACAGCATTTTTTCCTGACATATTATTTTTTTGACTTGGAGGTTATCACAGTCTTTGAAATGTTGAGGAAAAAAACTCATCAGTTCTTCCTGTAATTGTGAACTATCAAACTCTAACTTGTTTGCTAAAACTTCTGCAGAAATGTTATCTTTAGATAGAACTATTTGGCTGTAGAGCTTGTTTTGACTAGTACTGTGCAGTATATGCCAAGATATAGCTTAAATTCTTCTGAGTTTTCAGTTGGCATTCAACATTCATTTTGTGATCATATGGTTTTACAATGAACAGCTTTTAATTCAATATTGGAACTCTGTATCTTCCAACAGATGTGAACTGGGGATCCTCAACTCAAGCTTTGACTTACCTGAATGCACTACAGCATTCTATTCGGCTCTCAGGAGTGGAAGATCATGTGAAAAACTTTAGGTAACAGTTAATATCAAAGACATAGGAAATTACTCTCATATATTCAGTAGGGTACTGTCATGATGTTTGCTGTCACAGTTTTCATTAAATGCTTGTTCATCTCCTGTGGGTTATAGCAGCTTTTAATTTTCCCACCATGGACACCCTCTGGACATATTTATGTTAGCATTTTATTTCTAATTGAGTGCACTTCAGAAGCAAGTCTATGGAAGGTGCCTGCTTATTGTTAGATGCCTTATGGTTTATATCATGAACTGTGAATTTCAGTCCTCTTTGAAACTGAACTGGAGAATATGCTCCAAACTGCTAATAAGCAGTCGGTCCATGTGCTTATGCTAAAACAGAGCTCACCTAAAATCCTCAATATATGTGTACTGTGGATGTTATCCTCAACACTCATTATTTCATGTTAGACATATTGCTTCATTGCACTGCTGTAATAGCAAACAGGCTAACAAGTGTTTGTCACACTGAAGAAAAATGATTGTTGTCTGCCAGCATGGCTACCCAAGAACATCTTACTCAATGAGGCAGTTTTCTATCCTGTAGTGTTTATGCCACTTTTCTGGAATAAGCTAGTCTAGAAGAAAAAAGCTTTAAGAAATGTTAACAAAAAGTATTAGCTTAAACTAATTATTACAAAAAATGGAGTCACAGATTAAGCATCACTTTACCATGTGGTCTTTTCCAATCCATGACTCAACTGACTCACCGTAGATCTGACTGCAAAGTTAGGTCCAACTTCAATGTTACATCAAATTGCTCAGGGCTGTATCCACTCAAGTTGGAGTATTCCCAAGGACAGAGATCCTGTTGACCTGTCTTTTCAAACAGAGCAGTTACCTCCTACATGCTGCGTATGTCCAGCACAGGATTTACAATGTCGATACTAAGTCTAGCAAATCTGTATCATTGCTTGCAGCTGCACTTGTGAGAAGTGCATTTTTCTGTTATGCTCAGCACATCAGCAAGAGAATCCTAGCTACTAAAATCTTCGGTTTTGTAAGAAAGGAGATTTTGTGTACTTAAGGCAGAATTTAATAAGGAGCCAGTTCAGGGAGAAATTCTTCACACATGTGCCATTCTCTGAGTTTAAGTTTAGAATGCAGAACCTGACAGTGACACTGTTTTTCAAAGAAAAGATCTATGTTATTTACTCTCAGTTGGGTAAAGTATTCTAACTGACCCCTAGCCCCTCTTAGAAGTGACTAAATTTTCTTGAAATACTTAGAGCTTAGGCTTGTATCAGAAATAGTGTGGCCAGCAGAAGTAAGGGTGTGGTTGTCCCCCTGTACTCCTCACAGATGAGGTCACACCTCAAATACTGTGTTCGGTTTTGGGCCTCTCGCTACAAGAAGGACATTGAGGTACTGGACATGTCCAGAGGAGGGCAACAAAGCTTGTGAAGAGTGTAGAGCACAAGTATTATGAGTAGGAACTGAAGGAACTTAAGTTGTTTAGCCTGGAGAAAAGTGACAGGACAAGAGGAAATGGCCTCAAGTTGTACTGGCAGAGGTTTAGATATACCGAAAAAATTCTTCACCAAAGGGTTGTAAAACATTGGAAGAGGCTGCCCAGGGAAGTGGTGGACTCACCATCCCTGGAGGTATTTTAAGAGACGTGCAGCTCTGGTGCTGAGGAACATGATTTAGTGGTGACCTGGCAGTGCTGGGTGAATAGTTAGACTTGAGCTTAAGGGTCTTTTCCAACCTAAATGATTCTATGATTCTGTTGTTTGTGTCTAATATGTAAAACAAACTGGAGCTGCTATAGAGATGGAGACAGATGACTTTAGGTAATTCTTATGATACAAAATTTTGTCTTCTGAAATGAATTCTCAAGTCTGGACACAGTCAAAGTTGTCTAGGATAATGTGCTTGCAGTTGTTTGGCTTTGCCTTCTGAATGATAGTTATTTTTTAAAAAGGTGATTTAAGTTTTTCTGGTGGGCATAGAAGAATCTATGCTAGGAAATGCAAAGAGATGGGATTTACAAATGGAGGAAAAAATCCATCCATCTGACCTTGTCTTGGCTAAAATCTGTTTATATAAAATTTTGATTTTAGTGGGATTACTAAATTTGGAACCAGTTAATCATGGGTCTGCTGACAGTTGCAGAAAAATTGATCTTTACTTAATTTAACATAGTCTGCTAGAAGTAATTGATGTTACCGCATGTCCAGAGATGATTATGTTCTTATGGCCAATAGTTAGAAGAAACCTCTTTCTTTTAACAGATCCCTCCCCCAACTCCAGATGAAATTAATTCCAACCTTTTCTTTCCTCATCTGTCCACAATTCTAGACCTCAGTGCTTAATTATGACAGGCCCTCCAAATGCACGTCCAGCTTTGCTTCACCTTGTTCATGCTTTCACCAAGAATGTGGGCTTGATGATTTGTGGCCATGTACATATGGTAAGTGTATTCTATCTTTACTTCAAAGTTATGTTGGTTATGTTTTGGTTTGGGCTTTTTTTTACTTCTTTGCTTTTTGTTGGTGGTTCTTGTTTGCGTGGAGGGCTTTTTGCTTGTATATTTTTAAATGAAAGCATCACTAAACATTCAGAAGTGCAAAAAAGGAGATTTACTCGTAAGATCCACTGATGAGTGGGTCATCCCAATTCCAGTTAGGTATGCTCAAGGGGAAACTTTGCAAAACTATTACCTTTGATTGTTTGATGTTTAAATGCCGAGAAAGCTTTGCAGGAGTGAAGGGAGCACTGGATTACAGCCTGGGTCTTTCTGACCTTGGGTCATACAGTCTCATGTGCTCTTCCACGTTTTTGACAGAGCAGCTGGTCAGAATGATGCGCAGTATACAGATAGATCTTCTCTCAGTGTTGCAATTTCAGGGAGGCTGGTTCCTGTATAGTTTTCTTAAAAAGCCTGGGCTAAAATGTTCTTTAACAGTAAATTCACTACCAGTTTAGCCAATGGTTACAAATTTTTAACCTTTCAAGTAATTCTTTATTCCTTCAGTTATCAAATTCGTTTAATTGGCAGGTGAAACGATAATGTGAACAGACATGTCCCTTCATGTTCTCTTTCTGCCCAGCCCCTATAACTCCACTAACTTTCCCTGCTTTCTGTCAGGAAGGTATGGGTATTTTTGAGGCATGGGTGTGAGTGCACTTCTGGAAGGATATAATTTCAGCAGGTCTTACTAATTTAAAAAAAAAAAAAATCTTCTATGGCAGGCCTGTAGAGGTTGTGGCATGGCGGGAGAGAAGCAAACTTCAAGTAACTGTTCTTCAAAATTCCCCTTGTTATGTTAGAAGAACAGTTGAACTTGTTATGTTATGTCATACTGTGATCTGTACCAAAACTTCAGTTAGCTATGTAAAGGCTGTTGTATCTCTGGTAAATATTGGTAAATATGTTTTAACATATTGGAATTGCATAGATTCCTAATTTAAGGCCAAACTTTTTCTGTCACATCACTAAGAACACTTATGCAAGTGTAACTTTAAATACCTTCAGATTTACCACACTTACTCGATATGACTTGCTTCTGCTCTAATGAACAGATAAGAGCAAATCAAGTTAAAGCAATCCACAAAATGTACATTTTCTTAAGCAAATATTGGCCAGTTTTGTCTTCAGAAACTTCAGTTCCTTGATTCCTGTCTGTAAAAACTGTCTTTCAAAAGTAGGGCTGTACTGGAATGAGTAAGGGGGCATCGTCCTTCTTATAGGAAAGCAATTCTGATTAGAGATGTTCTCGGAGCACGTCCTATCTCTGTTTAAAATTGCTTTCCTACAAGAATGATGAAGCTGCCTTATTCTTCACTACCTCTGACCTTTTAGCCAGTCTGTATCCTTCTGCAAACTGTATCCTTTTCAAAAACTGGGCTACTGTGTTCTTGCTTATACTTTGACCTCTATTCTGCGTTTTGATGTCTAGGAGGAACACAATGTTTCATCCTTATGGAAGCACTAGAATCAGAATCTTTAAAGACAGATCACTTTGACTACAGAAGTGACGCTACTGTGAAAAGGCATTTTGTTCAGGACTACGGCCCAGAGAGGCACACTCTTAAAGCTTGAAACAAATGTTCCCATAAAGCCTAATATTAAGTAATCCTATATCTATGTATGTTTCATTATAATGCCCTTTTGTTCCAAAACTAAATTTGGCTTTGCTGGGCAAGCTTGTGCCGTCTGCTGGGGAAGTGGGTTGTGCTCTGCAGGAACAAGATTGCTAAAAGTTGAGCAACCTTCTTTATCAAATTGTGAATCTGATCCACTCCTTTGCTGCTGATAATGCCTCGTATTTTCTTGGTTGGATTTTTTTTGATAGGGTGGAATCTTGTTTTGGGGTTCTTCAAGTTTGAATTTCATTCTAGCAGTGAAATTTAAAAAAAAAAAAAAAGAAAAGGAGGCCTTCTTATTACTCATACTCATGATTCTTGTACCCTCTTCTCTTTTTATTTCCTTATTTTGAAAGGGTCCACGGAGACAAGCCATGAAGGAACTGTCAACTGATTTGGCTAAATACCAGAGATGGCTAATTAAAAACAAGATGAAGGCTTTCTATGCACCAGTGCATGCAGAGGACTTAAGGGACGGAGGACAATACTTAATGCAGGTACACCTCTCTGAATTATTATTTTTTTTTTTTAATTAAAGTGGTGATGGTGAACATCAAACTTGGAAGTCTTTTTTACTTTGAAGAGTAATTTTGCGAAGTTACCTTAATACTTGAATGAAAAAGAGTTTGCTTTCTGCTAACTGAAAATGATAGAAACTTTAGTTGCTTCAATAATGTGGGTTCTTTTAAATAATCTTTTGTTCTTCTTAGGCTGCTGGTCTAGGTAGAATGAGGCCAAACACCCTTGTTGTTGGATTTAAGAAAAACTGGAGACAGAGTGACATGAGAGATGTTGAAACCTATATCAATTTGTTCCAGTAAGTAGAAAATGCAGAGGTGTACCTCTTCTGTTCCATTTCATTGCTTTTGGTAATAAGTCAAGAAGATCTTAGTTGCATGAAGTCTCTTTCAGGTAGACTCAGATTTTCCGTATTACTGGTGTAGCAGTCTTCAATACCATGTTTTTTTTTTCTGATATGGAAATTAATAAGTATTTGTAGCTTAAACGGATTTCTATATAATAACTCTTCCTGTGTCTAGAAAGATGGCCATGATTTGAGGTTTAAGAGTTACTGTCTTTAGAGGTTGAACTAATGTCTTACGTACCAATCTGCTGAATTCTTTAAAACATAGCTTCTGTTGAAAGCAGGGTTTTCCTACACTACTTCTGTACAATTAAGTGTATTAGAGAATGAAGCAGCTCTTATGCTGAACTTCTTTCTTCATTAAACCTTGATCTCATATGCAAGAAATACTTTTACTTAAAATTGATACACAGCACTGATACCCAAAGCAATATAGCAGCTAAAAAGATCGGAAAGGAAATCCCAATATAATTTGACAGTACGGAATGGCAGACCAGTTGTGGCTGAAAAACTTAATAGAATAACTTCCAAAACTTGCCACCTGCACTTGTACAGAGGGTTTTTGTTTTCCTTATGTGCTGCTTAACCTACTTCTTTTTTTTCATGTTTGTGATGGTTTGAAAGCAAACCAGTGAGAGACTCCAAGTCAGAAGGATTTTTTAGGAAAAACAAAATAAATGCAATAGTACAAAAAAAAGCAAACCACTGACAGCATCAGAATAGAACGTGACACTCTGTTAGGGTGGTGGTAGCAGTCCAGACGAAGAGGTCTTGTTGAAGCAGTGATCCCATAGAAAGGTCTAGTAACTCTTGTCCTCTGGAAATCCAGTGGGTAAGGCCTCCTGTGCTGTCCCAAACCCCAGTTTATATCCAGGTGGGAGCACTTGGCTCCTCCCCCTGGGTGGAGCATCTCACAATGGGCTGATGTCATTCTGTGAGTCACCCAGTGGGTCCTTGATTGCCCATTAAATGGAGATAGCTCCTGGGGGGAGCTCTGTATGAGTCATGGGGCAAGGCGTTGATGGGCCCATTAACAGGGAGGAGGACTCCTGCTGGGTGTGAAGGTGTTAATATCTCCCCAGACCTCTTTCCTTATCTGTTGTAGCCTGGGGTGTGAGGTCTGTCCTGGGCAGCTGCTACCCATGATTTTGTTAACAGTCCATCAGCAATGACATAGAGCATGTAGAATATACAGTTTTTGGTTATACTCACATAATGATAAACTGGTACCAGCTTCTGTAACTATGACAGTGTTTTTCTGTCTTATCTTAGGGGTCTTTTTGTGCTTAGTGTAACTTCATTTTTTTTCATCTATTTATTCAGACTTTTAGTTTGTTTTTACAGTAATGAAGTTTTCCCTTTTACTTTATTTCTTAAAGGAGTGAGTTCCTTCCTGGTTAGAGATAATGAGAATAGGCACATTATAGCCAGCTTACAGCTAATTTCATTTTTAAGTTACAACTTCATAGGTGTTTTCAATACCCAAACGTTCTGGAAAGAAGTCAGAAATTTTTATGTCTGAGATCAAGGATAACTTTTCAAAATAAATATCTTCATGGATAGAGGAGATAAAAATTTAGATTTTTCATGGTAACCATCTGTGTAGTACCTGACTGACCTGTTCATATTCCTTTTGTTAATTCATGTTTACATAGGGGAGAGAGGCAGGAGGAATAGGTAAGATAACCTTCTGATGTGTTGCTTTTCAGGATATGCTGTTCAGTTCACAGGCACAGTTGATAATTTGGAATTCAAACTGAAATTGTAACAAAAATGATTTTGGGAGTTTAAGTGGCAGTGTTTAATCACTAGAATTTGTTGAAAGAGGGTGTATAAAGTAGGTCCTTCAGAAAAGGAGAAGCTGTAAAATAGTGCATTTTTATTCTTTTGCTTAGTGATGCCTTTGATGTTCAGTATGGCGTAGTTGCCATACGCCTAAAGGAGGGCCTGGACGTTTCTCACCTTCAGGGCCAAGGTAAGATTTATTTGGTTTCATCAGGTGAACAGCTGATCTAATTCCCTTTTCATACTACTTTCTGAAAACAGTAAATGAAGAGAAGTTACTAAAAAATAAAATAAAAAAACTCCAACTCTTATTGTAGAATAAAAATAATTTAAATTAGAAAGTCTGAAAAATAAAATAAGAATAATCCATGTTCAGCAACAGAGCTTGTTTCTCTGTGTGTTTCAACTCTGTAAGCTGTATATAGTTGCTTCCCAAGGACTTAGTAATGAGATGAAAAAATTAAAGAGGGTGCTGAATTCATATCAAGCATTTGTGACCCAAGTATGTCTAGAAATCATTAAAAATCACAGCAAATGTTGCATGACCCACAAATGCTGTGGATATAGTGAGGATTGCCAGTCCCTGCAGACACTAGTTTAGAGACCTCAGCAGTTGTCTTAAGTTCAGAAAGGTTTTCTATTTCTAGTGTAGAAGACTTGGTTATCCTTTGTAGGTTATCCTTTGTAGTGGTCTTAAGCTGAATAGTGTAACTTCAGTTAAATTTCAAGCAGAATTATAAAGGAAGTCTGTGAGCTTTGCTGGCAACTGTCTACTGAACTGATAACGTCTAATTTCTTTGTAGTTTGCTCCATATAATGTTGCAACAATGAGGAAGAAAGCTTGTGACACAAGCTCTGTAGGGGGGTCATCCTTCTGAAGGAGGGGAGGGTTGTTTCTTCTCTGGAAACGTGTGTACAATTTAGGTTTTGGAGAGAGGCAGAGAGTCTGTCACTGTGTGCAAGTGGGCAGAGGAGTATGAGAAATGGCAAAGAACGTGAAAACAACACTGTTGAGAAGACTGCAGAATGTAACACCAAAGCATCAGAATAGTCTCAGAGTCCATGGGGGACTGTGAGTTTGCTTTAATACTGATGCCTATCAAGTAGCTCCACTGAAGCCAAACTTGGGAAAAAAACCTTGACTACGAGACATACTTGGTCTGGGCCTTGTCTAAACCTCATCATCCTCCTGGCGTTAGAATGGAAATGGAAAATATTTCACCAAGTAATTTTTTTTCCTCCTTGTTGTACATCATCAGTATTAGTTAGCTCTGTTTCATGTTTAGCCTGTGGTAATGCAATGAACACCCAAAATCTGGGAAGGAAGTAGCAGGAAACTACAGTACTGCTAAGAGGAGGAACCTCTTTGTACTCTGAAGGTGTTCATATAAGACTTTTGTTGTTGTTTTCTGCTTGGTTTTTTTTCCCCTCTTTGGCATAGTCCAACAGTTGCAGTAGGGCTCAACCAGTGTGAGCCATATCAGCATAGTCACATACCTCTGTTGATACCAGTTGGAACAACTGAGTGGTATTTATAATGTGTTTCTTTGTCTTCTCAAAGAAGAGTTACTGTCATCCCAAGAAAAATCTCCATGTCCCAAGGATGTCATAGTAAAAGTGGATTATAGCAAGAAGTCTGAGACAGACACTCCTATAGCTTTTGCTCTATCATCTACTGAAAGAACTCCTACTCTGCCTAAAGGTAACTTGCTAGTTGGCAATGAAATTTGACTTCTCACTCCTCTCTCTTGTTCCCTCTTCAGTTGCTCTCTCCTCTCACCAAGGAAGTATTTAAGGAATGTTTGTGTCTGTGGAACAGAAGCGTGTCATGCTTTTCTAGCTCTTGATATCTAATCACTGAAGTATGTTGGTTTAGAGCTTACCAGTATGTAAAATACATCTTTCACATTTAGTCCCCTAAATTAAACAGGTGGTAGACAATGACTTACAAGGGATTTTATTTGTTAATGAGTTTGATGTGCATTAAAAATTGCTTGAGAATCATGCTACAGATCTATATATTATGGGTGATTTGAAGACTGGTAAGTCTATGAAGGTTTTTTCACCTCAGACTAGAGTATTATCTGCATGTTAACAGACACAAATAATTCAGGATACTTTGACATGACAGTAACCAACCTTCCTCTTCTTTTTAAAGTAAAAGCTTGGAGAGACTTCATAGGTTAGTGAGCAATGTGATTTATTTTTTGCCTTTTTTTTCTTTTCTTTTTAAAGTACGAATATATCTCAGGATCTAGCAGACTGTATTTGTGTACTTTTCTTTTGTATGAAACTCCATTTCACTCTACACCTTTATTTTCTGTTTTTTTTTTAAGGTACACTAGTTGTGTTTTCATTATCATCACAAAAGAAATTAACCTTTTTATTTTGTATCTTTAAAAATCTTCCAGAGGAGGACGAGGATGGAAAGACTCCAACACAACCACTGTTGAAAAAAGGCAGGCATTTTCCACCTTTTTGTGTTAAATCATCCTTTCACATTGTTAATTTCAGTTTTCCTTTCATACTCCTTTCTACACATGTATAGCAGAGAGAGGAAAATATCAACCATGCAGTGCTAATTTGTTTTGTCATATCTGTTTTGGAATGTGCTTCATCTTTAAGGATTCAGCTATGGAAAAATGCAACTTTGAGGAAACTTCCAGTCAAATAGCTACTGAGAAGGGATTGTGCACATGCCTAAGATAGGAATGTTGGATTTTTTTTTTTTTTTCCCAGTTTTGTTCTTGAGTAATATTTGAAACCTGTTCAGGAACTTGCTTAGTTCTCTGTGTCTCATGTATTTTTCTGGGTCCTTAGCTGACTTAGGAGTAAGAGAAATATTATCTAATGGCATAGTGGAAGCATTCCACCAGTCTACTCAGTAGATCTAAAACCATGTTTTTTTCTCTGTTAGTTGAAATTATTTAACAGCTTGCAAACTAAGGCATAATACAGCCACTCAGTGAAATTAACATCTGAAATAATGTGAAGTAGTTGTACAAATAAACAGCATTTTGAGAGATGAGTCAAGCATTTCCCACTTCCTGATTTATTTCAGACTTTTTCTTGAGTTAAGCAAATACTTTTGGCTTAACTAAAATTCATTTAACTTTTCTGACATTTTCGTAATTCCAGTAGCTAGAACCTCTTTGTGTTTTAATAATAGAAAGTGAGATTACATCTTGAAGCACAAGATGGCAGTTTGGAAGAAGTCCCAGTATTCAGTAAAGTATATTAATGTAAATCAGTCACAGATGTGCTCTAGATTTAAAAATTCTTAATAAAATAAGGACTGAGATGAATATCTAACTCCTGGCTCTTGTTCAAATTGAGATTTTAATTAAGAAAAAGGAGTTAGTTATTCCTGTAGTTTAAAATGTATATATTTACCTGTTTTACTCTAATCAAAAGTGCCATTGTGCCCCATTCTTTGTTATGCAGAACGGTCTATATTTGGCTTCAGAGCCTTGTATATGCAAAACAGTACTTGTTGCAAAAGACAGAATTGCAGTGTGCAGAACTGGCTTTTATTTTCACTATGTGCATCAAGAGAAATGGGTTTAAGGAAAGAACAAAAGTGCTTAGGATACGGTATTTACTTGTAGATTAGTTATCTTCATGTTTTTAGTGAAGTTTAGTCATATGAAAGAGGTAGCGAAAGTGCAGGACCTAATACTCTGAGGTACAGTATTGTACATGGGTACAAGGTTAGTTCAATCATCTCAACAATTGTCCAGACAAATGACTGTGTAGAAATCTTACAGGTCTTTTGTCAAATGGCTGGGAAATGAACTTCCAGACTTAAATTTGTAACTGCTGAAGTTACAAGTTTGGAGACTCCCTATATATAGCTCATTTTATATCCATTTAGACAAAATTTGGAATTGGGCTGTGTTGGGGGCAACAATTTTTATTTAAACTTAGCGCTATCACAAAATGTTAAGAAGTTGCATTTGATGAATTTCAGGGTGATTAAGCAAAACACTTAAAAAAATTAAATTTCATCGTACTTTTTTCCAGATTCAAAGAGCCCATCTTCTCCTTTAAATGTGGTTGACCAAAGACTTCTTGATGCTAGTACTCAGTTTCAGAAGAAACAAGGCAAAAGCAATATCGATGTATGGTGGCTCTTTGATGATGGAGGTAATGTGCTTTATACCTATAAAAAGAAACACGGGGGAAAAAAAACTATTGAAGTGATTTTGAATTAATAGTTATTAATATCTTTCATTCAGTTCATACATAGATTGCGAATTTGTACTATTAAACTAACACAATGCAACATTTTCTGAATCATTTCCAAATTCTGGTGAAAATGCAGGTTTGACACTCTTGATTCCATATCTTATTACAACCAAAAAGAAGTGGAAAGACTGTAAGATCAGAGTGTTCATTGGTGGAAAAATAAACAGGATTGATCATGACAGGAGAGCGTAAGTTTACCTTGGAAAATTTCATTTCAACTGTTAATAAAGCATGTTACACAGCAGATGATTTTCTCTTCTTAGTAGCTTTCTTTCAGCTGTTCTTTGGTTGAGGTATAATCATACTCTGTTCCCTTTCCCCAAAATCCACTCTGTTTCTTCCAGATTGTTTTGTATGAGCTAGCTCAAATGAAACTAATTTTTCTGCAGTGCTGTCTGATATTAACGTTTTCATCTTTAACTGTTTTCTGGGTGTTATTTAAGGGAGAGCTTTTCTCTTAGTTTGATGGTTTTAAAGTGTTTGATTGGTTGTTTGGAGGGTTTGGTTTTTTGTTTTCCCAAAGGGTGTTGATGGTTTATAGCCATATGCCAGGTCAATTGTTTTAATTTTGTTTTTTTTTTTCCTCTGTCACATTTAAGTTGCTTTTCTTTCTTAAACTAGTGCTTTTAATACCTAACACCTATCTCTTTACCCTGTGAAATAATTAAAAATCTGATCATACCTAAAGGCTTGTTTTTCTGACACAGGATGGCTACTTTGCTCAGCAAATTTCGGATAGACTTCTCAGACATTATGGTTCTTGGGGATATTAATACTAAGCCAAAGAAAGAAAAGTAAGTCTCAATAAATCCCAGCTTATTTCTTAGTTGAATTCTTGATATCTTTAATTAACTTAGAAGACTTCATGATTTCCTACATAAGTTTTGATAAGAGTAGTTCCTGTGGCATCCAGTTTTTCACAAAAATGCAGAAAATAAATTAAGCAATAACTCCTACATGCAAGGACATAGAATTTTGGTATTTTTAACTGTGTGGCCCTTAGACTGTAATATTAAATTGAGAAAAATATGGTTTAAAAAAATCCAGTTTGTCAGAGCAATCTTCTTTGAAAGAGAAATGCTTACTAAAACTTAAATGGTCTTTATTTTACTTGAGGTCTTCATTTAATATAACAATGCTTGGTCTTCAAATAGCCTGATCTACTTTTTTTTTTTATTTTATTTTTATTTTTATTTTGCTTGGTCTTCTACACATGAATGATCATACATGTGATATTTCTGATTCTCAGGTTTAAAAAACATTAATTCATGATGCCTTTTACTACAAATTTGTAACCGAATGTATAAGATTCTTTTCCTTCCCTTCAAACATTCTTTCATATGTTGAAGTTGTACAAACATCTTTTATTTGGATATGCTTTTAGCTGAATAATTTGATATGTTATGCAAATCAGGAAATACTGCTTTAGAACTTACTGAAATGGTAAATGCTATACCCTGCTTTTTAATTACCTTCTAAAAAATGTGTAGACTAGATCAAGCAACTAGAACAGTAGAGTACTTCTGGCATTCTGATACTTTTGGATGTCTTTGCTCCAGGAAGCCTGCTTTTGTAAAATGTGTAAACTTAAGAAGTAGTATGCATTTATACATTAAAAAGTCGAGACTGTAGAATACTTGGAATTATTCTTAGAAAATTGAAGCGATCCATGAGTTATTCCTTCTGAGAGCATATTTTATATCTCAATGGGTTCTTTCCCCACAATACATCCAAAACCTTTCTATGATACCAGCTGGCAATAACAATAGCTGTAACCTAGGTGGAGGAGGATGATTTAATAGTTGCTGTGCGGCATAATGGAACATTGTTATTACCTGACTTTTTGTTCAGCCAAAAAATAGCAGATCATATTTGGTTTTTCCCTTTTGATGAAGATGGCACTGTGTTAACTAACAAGGGTAGAAGAAAAGACAGTAGTGTGTGGGTTTCCCGGAGGAACAGGAATGTCTCAGAAAATGGGCATGGAAGCTAACATATCACACGTATTACTGATATGTGTAATCCTGCTACATACTACTGATACTGCAATATATCCTGAGAGGTATTCATTAATGTTTGTTAAACTTCACACAATGTAATACGCATTTTTGCATATTAGATTGGCAATACTGTCTCACCATTATAAAAAACCCCATTTGAATAGCATAAAAATACAGTTATTTCATTGGATGCAAGGGATACATTTCACTCCACTAAAACTCTTCTCACGCGGTGGGGCAAATCAAAGACAAGTTACTTTCATACCTTGTGGCCTTTGTTTGCTGTTCAAGTATACTACTGTGAGTAGAGAAAGTAGGGTAATCTAAGTTGTTCTTTCTAGTAGACATGAATGCCTCTTTGGTCTTCAGAAGGCTTTTTTTTCAAAGTTCTTGATAAAGTTCAAGTAGATTCAGAGTAATACCACAAGATAGCCAGCTGTGGTTATTTGCTTTTGCATGTGGTTCTGAGACTGTATTGGAAAGATTACAAAGAAGGAAAATAAAAATATCCAAGACACAACCCTAATTGACACTGAGATGAGATTTGATAGCTTTTTTGTAGTGTGACATGTAAACTCCTCCTCTTTCAAGTATAATTCTAATGAAGCTGCTCTTTCTGACTATACATTTTCTAAGGTAGGATTCTTGAGCTTTCAAACAATTACATTAAAGCTCTAGCAAAAGTTGTTTGTTTGCTTGCTTTAAAAACTGGCTAAAACTTCATATCTATTTACATGATGGATAGTAAAAGCTACTACAGGTGTCCTTAACTGTTTTATGTCTGCATATGCAAATAGCTGATTTGATGTTATAACTGCAATTGGCAGTGAAAAATATGTTTACTTTATTTTTACATGGCAATAAAACTTTCTAATACCTTGAAAGTGATTGCTCACATGTAGACTTATACCTGTTCTAATATGGCTGTTCACTTAACCATTCCAGTATTGCAGCTTTTGAAGAAATGATAGAGCCCTTCCGACTTCATGAAGATGATAAAGAACAAGAAGTTGCAGACAAAATGAAGGAGGATGAGCCATGGAGGATAACAGATAATGAACTTGAACTTTACAAAACAAAGGTTCTGTATTCTTTAGAGAGTTATGTTAGATGTTGTTAAACTTCATCCTCCTACTGCATTTGTGGATGTGATATCATTGAGTTTATTCTTGTTATTCTTTCTCTTCCATATCTGTTTTTATTAATAGCTGATAGAAAGCAGCATTTAAAACCATTTAGGTGGTTCACCAAAAAGAAAAGATAGATTTCTGCATTGTTTGGGGCAGGGAGGGAGGGCCTAAACTGCTTTTGTACAGTATTTCAGCAGTTCATTTAGAACATTATAGTCTGTATTCAGCTGTTTCACTGTTTTTTTTGACCAAATTAACTTTTTTTTTCCTTCATTATTAAAAAAATAGAAAGCAAAACATTCTACATCTAATTGTGGTGTTAAGGAGCAGTTAAAGGTTTGATATTTTTCCCAAGCAGTGGTGCACTGTAGAGACATCAGAGGCAATCCTTCTCAGGTGCTTCTGTGGAGGATACTCAGCATCCTGTAACAGGATGTAGATACAGACAAGTAAAGACTGCTTAGAATTTCATTGATCTGAAGTTCAAGATGTTCCTGAGTATGTTCCACCCTTGTCTTTTTTCTGTCTGGGTTTTTACAACTTACATGAGAAAAGAAATGGGAATAGCAGGTCATTCTGTGTAAAAAAGTGTAAGCAGGAATCTGTTTAACAGGTTGATACAGACTGACTGGCAGCTGCTGCTGTGATCCCTTCACTGCCTATTACCAAGGGACTGGCTGGGGGAAGATTTTTATAAAGTACTGTTACTTCATAGTTAATAAACTGCTTGGTGCCTTGCTGTTCCTCACGCCTACCATCGCTGCCAAAACTCATTTCAGTGACATAACTGAAGTGATTTATGCCTCTCTATGTTGATAGCTTAATTGTTCCGGCAGACGCTAGCCCGCAGGCTAACTAGACTCCAGAACTATAACAATCCCATGCAACACTACAGGCCTGGGGAAGAGTGGCTGGAAAGCTGCTCAGCAGAAGAGGACCTGGTCGACACATACTGATTGACAACTAGCTAAATATGAGCCAGTGGTGTGCCCAGAGACCAGGAAGGCCAATGGTATCCTGGATTGCATCAGAAATAGTGTGGCCAGCAGGAGTAGGGAAGTGGTCATGTCCCTGTACTCACCACTGGGGAGGCCACACCTCAAATACTGTGTTAAGTTTTGGGCATCTTCATACAGGAAAGACACTGAGGTGCTGGAGCAGGTCCAGAGAAGGGCAACTAAGCTTGTGATGGTTCTAGAGCACAAGTGTTATGAGAAGCAGCTGAGGGAACTGGGGTTGTTTAGCCTGCAGAAAAGGAGGCTTGGAAGAGACCTTATTGATCTCTACAGCTACCCAGAAGGAGGTTGTAGAGGTGGTCTTTTATCCCAGGGAACAAATGGCCTCAAGATAAATGAGGAGGAGGTTTAGGTTGGATATCAGGAAGAATTTCTTCACTGAAATGGTTGTCAAGCATTGGAACAGGCTGCCCAGGGAAATGGTGTGTGAATTGCCATTCCTGGACGTGTTCAAAAGTTGTGTACATAAGGGTGCTTTGGGATGTGGTGGAGTTGGTAGTTATGGCAATAGGCCTACCAAAAGAAGTTGGGGCTTTGCTTTGGTAAGACCTGCTCACTGTGAGCTTATAGTTGAAGGAATCTTGGAGAGGGCATATGGGGCTCTTGCTTCCAGAAGCTATGGAGAATGATATTGTTATTAGCATAACTATCTTAAATTTCGCTTTCATAGTACTTAGCTTATTTGCACATTTTAAGCTTACTGCTTTCTTTTCTCCCAGCCTTGCAACCACAGGTACTCTGGAAAAGTGAACAAGTCGTCAAACTGAGGTGGAAGTATATGCTTTTTGTAATTGCCTCATACCAATTATCACAACTGTTTTTCATTTTTCTTTAATAAATGAACTTTATGTATTTCTGTATAAAAGATGTTTCCAACAAGTCTCATTTTAATTACAGACTTATCGCCAGATTCGGCTAAATGAGTTGCTGAAAGAACACTCAAGTACAGCTAACATAATTGTTATGTAAGTAAATAATTTGTACTTTTATCCTAATAGATAGAGAATTATACTTTGACATATGTGCACATGCAGGTTAGGGAAAAGCCTGTGTATTGCCATCAAAGTACAGAAGTACTCAAGCAGGTTTCAGGGCTCAAATATTGGAAGTATGGAGCTACTATACTGATGAATGAAAAAAATGGCCTGTGTGGTTTTGTGTTTCTGGTACACTGCCTTACCTCCCCATTTGTAGTGTAGCTCAGAGTTCTGACATTCCTTCCACTCCCACATGCCAACTATTCCCCTGGCTTTCAGGTCCTTCCTTTTGGTTCTTTATCTATGAAATATCTCTATGAAAAGTTAGACAATAATCCTGCTGATGAGTTTCCATGGAATTATTTTTGGTGTTAAACAAGCAGGATGCAGACTGCAGGTTTCCTCACTGTGTTTTTTTTTGAGGAGCCTGCTTCAGAGCTCCATGAAAGACTACTACAAGTAAAGTTTGAGTAGGGCAAACAGACTTCCAGTAGTTTTTTCAAAAGAAAAGAGTGTGGCATGCTTTGGAGGGATTGTGAGAAGCAGTATTAGACTGCTGCAGCATGGCATCATAAGAAAATGCTGTATTTGAAATTCTTCAAGAGTCTTTAAAGAAAGTGTCCTCTTCTGGGGAGAATTTTCCATGAAGCTATCTGAATACAAAATGGTAGTATAAGGCCAGAAGTGAGGGGTAAATTAGAGGTAAAGGGCTGTGTTGATTAAGATACAAGCTCTCAACTGAATTCTGAGGAGACCAACAAAAAAATCAACAACACAAAACTAAACCAGTGAGAAAATTTGACTTAATGTCTGCCTCTTTGCAGAATCATATTTTGGTATTTGCATGGTATAACTTGCACTCCACCAGTTTCTTCTAATGTTTTGGTTTTTTCCCCTTGTGAATTGTAGGAGTTTGCCTGTTGCACGAAAAGGTGCCGTTTCAAGTGCACTGTACATGGCCTGGTTGGAAGCTCTTTCTAAAGATCTGCCGCCAATCCTCCTTGTTCGTGGGAACCATCAGAGTGTTCTTACCTTCTACTCCTAAGAGTACTGAGCATAGGACAGCGACGGTGAAATGGTACTGCAGTGCCCAGGGGAGAGTGGCTGACACGGTCTGTAGTCTGTTAACATCACAAAAGCAAAAAGTGACTCTTCTTTCACTATTTCACTGACTTGAAAGCACACAAGGAAAGTCACTGTATTTCTAAAGTTGTGACATCTTGAGTTTTATTCTATATTTTCTGTAATTTAGTCTTGCTTAATGGGGGAGGATTCCTTGTTAGACTGAAGAACATGACAAGCTTTTTGTTTGCTGTTTGAATAGCAGCAATAAAATGTTTTATTTTTGATCAATGAAAGGATTATAGATTTTTAAAAGCCTTTTAGCCTTGAGGTGCCTTCTGAAATTAACCAAATCTCATCCATACATCCTATTTTGTAAATTTATATAGAATGTCAAAATCTGCCTTCAAGTAAGAGTTTAGATCAGACTTCCTTTAGTTTCTAGTTTCTTCCATATTACAATATAAATGAATGCTGCTTTTCAGTCTTCCATTGAGCTATTAGTTCTTAGTACTGTATGTTTTCTATTGTCAGAAAGTTTTTTTTATTACTATATCTGTTAGATTTAAAGGTGAGAATTGGGGCAGGTCAGTTGAACTAAAACAAATTCCTGATGTTATTGTCAAGACTTCGTGCTACTAAATTTTGTAACAGTTGAAATAAAACTAATTCTACCAGCAGAGAGGATCTTTTCCTCCAATTTGACAGTGTGTATTACTTTGGGACTACTCTGAGATCCACAGCTGATACTAGCTACCTTGGGGAAGGACACTGCTCAATCTTTGTTCTGTAGCTCTAATACAAAGCGAAGTTCATCTTACTGGGTGAGGCTTTTTATCCTACTGCAAATTACAAGACAAGAAAAAGACCTGTCCTAGTTCTTGGCCTATTATGTTTTGGTGTCACTTTCAACTTATTTTAAAACAAAACTCAACTTAAGGCTTGAATGGGGATAATATAAGTAATGTGATGCTATCTAACAGAAAACAGTAAACACTATGTGGAATCTTGCTATCCAATATGAAATGTAAAAGCTACAGTTCTTTCACATTTTTCAACAAATGGTTAAAAGGACCACTAGTTACTAGGGGAGATGTTTTTAGGTCAATTCATTCAGTTGTCAGAAAATACATTTAGTCTTATTAAATAATACTCAGGTTTGATCGTCTATCAATTTAGATCTATTCCATACATCCTACTTTATACATTTTCTATGTTCAATAAAGAAACTGCCAATCTTCTGTGCCCTTTCATTGTATATTTTGAAAACATCATAATTTAGTCTACTATGAACACCTACACAAGAAATCTCACTTGAGCCTTTGTATAAAGGTTAGTAATGTGAACTTTTTTTAAATTCCTAATATATTTTGGATAGAAAGGATTGCCTAAAAACATTTCACAAGCTTTTGATATTAGCATTGGACATGCAAATGGATCAGTTTACCAGTGGTTGAGTGACTTTCACTTAAGGATGCACAGAAAAGATGTATTTTTATGCTAAACACAAGAATAAATGGAAATGTAACTGTTGCTTTTGGAGGACAAAGCATAATCCTTGTGTGGCAAGGTTGTTCAAGCTTCAAGCTGTTGTGATTAAAGATAAAAATACTTTGCACAGTGCAGTGTACACTGTTGTCAAGTTCTTGGTAAATGGCAAAAAACCTTTTTTTGCTGTTTCTGTCAGTTAGATTTGAGATTATTGAATCATTTCACTTAAAAAAAAATAAGAAAAACAAACATGCATGTTTTGCTGCTAATTGTGAGATAATGATGCCAGCATGAAGCCAGCTTGTTACGATACACATTATAAGGCAAGACAGTTTGCAGTAAAAGTGCTGTTTCCTTCCAGTTGAGGTGGTGAGGATCAAACTTACCAACTTACCTATTGCAGGTTTTACAGTTTTTTTAGGAGATAAGGATGTCACATTGTGAATGTGGAATCATTGCCATGTTTCTTCTTGTTTTGCCGGTTACATTCTTTTGAACAGATGGACAGTAAGGCATGGACTTAGTGCTGCTATCTTATAAAAAAAAAAATTAAAATGTGCACAGGTACACTTATTTAAAAGGTTTTTTGCCCATTCAGGAAACCATTGCTTGTGATCTATAACACAGAAACCAAATGAAGTGTGTGTATACATGCATATATGTGTATAAAATTATATGAAATATATCTAAACATGCATATGGGGATAGTTAAGGTAATGTCTGTGAAGTAACATAGGATGCTTCTCACGTGCACTCTCAGAAGTCCACTAACGCTAGGCACGAGGTCAAGTTTAAGGATTATTTACTACACTAAAATTTCAAATTTCGACAGTTAATGGTAATTGTTTGCAACAGATGTCAGTTAGTGGCAGTCACTCCAACTTCTGCTTTGATTTTGATGCCAAATTTAGTTATGTTCCAATCATTATTAATTACTTGAAAAACAAAATCACTTACACATGGCAATTCATACCTTGTATAGATTAGGTTTCTTTATATGGTTTTAGGAAGACAGTAATAGCTGGAGCAAATCAATTATTTATTTGTTCACTTATATTTGTATTTGGGTTTCCTTTTACATACATTCTTTTTATATGCTTTTTCTGACATTACATATTTAAAAATAACTGAAAATAATTTAAAGATTTGAGTGTTAGTGGGTAAGGGCCCACTTGGTTTGAAGATGTAAGATTTGATACTGTACTGTAACTGTCACACACAAATGCTTTTCTAATGTTTTAACGTAATTATTGCAGTTAATACTTTGTACCAGGGGGATGTCACTGCAATAAAAGGAAGTGAATTCAATACAACTGTTTTGTCTAACACAGCCTTTTATTATTGGTGGGGGCTAGGGAATACTCTTCGTAGTTTAACCAATCGATGCTGAAAATAGTTCCTGATACGTGAATGTGCTTAGTGCACACATCTGATACCTGTCTTTGCTGTGGGATTGGCATAGGAACTTAAAGCCATTCAGGTGCCTGCTACAAGGAGGCAAGTGGTTTGTGCTTGGAACGAATGTTGGCTGCCACTGGGTTAGGCTCAGTGGTGGCTGTGTAAGACAAATAAACCCTGTTTTGTACTAAAATTTGTCATGACTTGTGAGACAATGCAGACCGGTCTGCAACACGTGGTATGTTCAAGCTGAAATATTAGGATCTGAGAATTTGTTCCTTAACACACAGGCAATTTGTTTTGCCTCTCCCTCAAAACAGTACTCCGCTGGGATATGAGGAAATACATTGGGAAAATTAACTTGTAAACACTCAGTTGCAAAGCTGCTTGGAAGCAAGATATATTAGGTCTTAACTCCGCTAATGCGTGTAAAAGTTACATTAAAAAATCTAGGAGAAATGGCAAGTTGTTTTCTCATATAATATTATGCTTAGAACCACTGAAGAACTTTTTACCCTCATCAATTTTTGTGTTGCCCAGCATGGTTGGGTAACTGAGAATTTTTATTTGAAAATTAACCTCAAATAAATTCAGACCTCTACTACATATCCTTAATTTACAGAATACCTGTTGATTATGTTTCTCCATGCATTGAAATCTAGGCCTTGAGTGTGAGGCTTGGAGGCCACTGGAAAGGAAATGCTTCTTAAAAGTACACTACCAACTTCTGTGGCATTGGCTCTGTTTCAGTATGTAAAAATGCAGAGAGAAAGGGATGTGGCAGTTTTTTCCAGATCCCTCATATATGATGGAGGAGTGATTGATCTAAATAATGACACAGTAGCACTAGCTGAATTCACAGGTAAGTGGCTTTAGGTATGCTTTCAAAGATAAAATTTAAAAGTGGGTCAAGGTTGATCTCCATGCTCTGCTACACAAGCAAACAGTGAAGGTTCACGTTGCACAGTAACCTGTTCTGGTTTTATTTTGGAACAGGCAAGCAGGACTCCCTTCACCTTGGTGAATGTTCGTTAGTCTGGTCATACTTCTCCTATCACCTCGCTGGGATCTTGCCTATACACATAAAAGCTGTGAGACTGCGGAGGCATCGGATGGTGTTCTGCTCCACCGAACCTGCTTCGCTCCCCTGTCTCTCGACAGCATCGCGTGGAACAGGCTTTCAGGGTTCAGGGTGTGGCTTAGGTTGATGGAGGCTGATGGCTGCTGCATTTATGTGAGGGTGAAGGCAGCTGGTGGGAATCGTCCCTTTGTTAACTTTGAACTGGAAGAGTAGGTGTTGAAGCAATAACATGCACCCTTTCTCCTGAGCCCTAAGGTGCCCCCTGTGCCCGGCGGTCCCCCTCCCG